TCATTTGTCGGTGCGCACAGCTGGGGTGCATCCCGCTGATTACCTTTCTTTTTATCTATACCTCTGGCAGACGCTCCGTGCCGGAGCATTTACTTGCATACCCTGTAACAGCCCTATATTCGTGGCATGTATTATATGTCATTTTGTTTTCCACACTGACAGTTCCTGTGCTGTGAATTTCTTTTTCGTTCGCCAGTCCTCCTGGTTCATTTGCTTATTCACCTGTCCGTCCTGTTCCTCCTACTCTCCTGGTTTCTGCTGTAGCCTGTCTACTCCCCTGGTTGTCCTGTTCTCCTCAGCTGTCTTTTCCCAGCCCTGGTTGTATGCCTGCAGTGACTCTGTTCTTTTTTATGATCCCCACCATTAAACCACCTTTTTTACTAGCACCTGGGTCGGCAATCTTGAGTCCTACCTCAGTTCTCCCTCCCCCTCCTGGTGAGGGGGGACTAAACCATAACAACATCAGCAGTAACCACAGTGTTCTACTGGACTGACACATTTACTGTTAGCCAGCTAATGCTAGCTTCAGACTGGAGGCTGCGGTTTGAACATTTTGTCCCAACCAGGCATCTGTAGTTTACACTGTAGCTTCAGGTAACAGGATGTGATGGGAGGGGCAAAGAGCAGCTTACAGTGTCAGTTTGTTTTGTCTCATTAGACTCTGTAGCCTGAAAAGACATTAAGCGGTTTTAAAGGATCCTCACACCACCACAAAACCACCAGAATGGATGCAGACAACAGTTTTTTTTTCCTGACGCTGCACTCACAAATAGCCTCGGGTCAGCACTGTCACTGTTACCTATAAGATGCTTTCTTATATGTTTGTGTGACTTGCTGTTGTAACACTTTGTCTAGTATCATCTGAGGAGACTCAGATGCACACTTGACTAATTAGGGAGTAGTTGTGGTTGAGATTCAGAGACCTCAGCTCCTTTTGCTATTTACAGAGGTGGAGACATTCAGACTATGACTCATCCTTATCTTACTCAAGCTCCATCCCTGAAGTGTCCCGCTCTAATATCCCTAAGTGTTTTGGAACCCGTAGTGGATGGCTGGCGTCCCATAGACCTGCCACACTAGGTGTGAAGTGGAATGCCTGAAGTGTGAGTCAGGAGGCATCTGAAAAACAACAAGCTGAAGAGAGAACCACAAGTAAAACACGCTGCTCCTGGAAGACAGCTGAGCACCTCTGGACCTGTGAATTAACACCTGAGTCCTCCTGAACACTGTCTGCTGATGAGCAGATGTAAAGACATGTGGTTTCCCTGATGGAAGGATGATCGTGCTGCAGCCAAACTGTGGCACCAGCCATTAGGTTTCTTCTTTGCTTGTTTATTTATTGATTTAACTTTCTTGCATATTTAAACCCTGCTACATTTTATTTTATTATTGATTTGGTTTTTGTGGCTTGAACAGCTGAAATATTTGATCTGCTGCTAAATTAACATTCTTTAAATGCAGGCTGAAACCATCCCTTTTCTCCAGATTTGATGTAGTTTGTTTTGTTGTGGTTTGTTTCTCCACTGCACCTGATTGTTGTTGTTGTTTATGAGGACCGTGCGTATGCATCTTCACTTTCTGTGAAGCACATTTGCTTTTTGGAATCAGATGTGCTATAAAAATAGTTTTGTTTACGCTGTAATAACAAATAGTAAAAGTAATGCATGATAAAGTATTTAGATGCTAAGTTAAATGTGAGATTTTAAGTCAAACATACAAGGTACTACAGTAAAATAATGAAATACTAAGTTTAATCTAGGATATAGTCGGTCAGAATTATTATCAGTTATGATTTGCTTAGATCTCTGAGGAAGTCAAATTTATAAGTCAAATTATTTTTCTCTTAATATTGATGGTATATCATCATTGTATTCCATTAAATCTAAACTATATTTTTGTACTTTCCTGGTGGGAATTCAGTCCAGCTCAGCCCATGGTGGCAAAAAGAGCCATTATGTAAATTGTTCTAATTTTCTTTCTTTCTGTGGTCGTTCCATTAGTTACCTGAAGGTCTACGTCATAAACAATTTATAAAATCACAGTTACAGTGCAGAGAAAGCAGCTTGTGAGCTGTTATGGACCTTCATTTGTCATGCATTTAAGCTCTAAATAATCTCTGAAGACAGCAACCTTTTTCCCAGTCAGAGCTGAGGTGAGGAACATGTCAGCTCCAGCCCTCGCGTTGATTTACAGCGTGCTGATGAAATCACAGAGGACTTGTAGGGGTAGGAAGAAGCCACGGGCTGTGGCTGTTGATGCCTCAGGTCAAAGAAAATCTAGAGATGAAGCATGCATAGTTTGATAAGTGCATTGGAACATTCCTGTCATTCTGCACTGTAAACTCATGAAAACAAGCAGCAGCGACGCCCCTCAAACCAAAGTCCCTTCTCCAGCTGCTATCGCTGCCACGCATTCAGATCTGTTGTTGTGTTCCTGTCATGTTTTCTCCCTCTGTCACGCCGACATAATGAGAACGTTTCCACTTGTCTGAAATACTGAAAGGCACCTGGATGTGTTTATGTTTCTGTTTTTGGGAATATACAGAACATTATGGCGACCCATCAAATATTTGTCAAGATATTTCAGTGTTGACTAACATGGTTAGAAAGGCCAACATTAAATTCCTCAATCCTCAAAACTTTTCTTAAACGCAGTTTGTGAGTAAGAGTGGAGAAAATGAGAAATCTTTGACCCAAACCTGACCTTTGGGAAACCAGAAGTCAACATGCATCTCTTACATTGATTTTAAAAGAAACAGAAGAAACCTGATCCAAAATGAACTCAAGGACAGTCAAACCCAAAGGAAGCAAGTGTATCAGGATCCAGGATGTGGTGTACCAGCAGTTCCCTGTCCTTGTCGTTTTGCTGCATTTCACAGTTCAGTCTCTGTCTGCACCAGTGATGATACCACTATGAGCAGAGCCAGTGGAATCCTCTTGAATCCAAACAGAAACATTTGCATACACAGAATATAATTTATTGCAAGGACAAGTCAGTGGGGAAAGGCCCTGGCAATAGCTACAGTACATATTCCTGTCACCAGCCGGTACACCCACGATGAGACGGTGAAAACAGTGTCTCTGCCAGAATCCATGATTAATGTACACGCCCATGTTAATGTAGTCTCCACAATAATCCATCTGTTGTTCAACAGGCCCACAGTCCTTGTTAAACACTGTATAGAGTGATGTGTTATCTCCGTGATCTCTGGTACCCTATGGCACATTCCACTAGCTGCTCATACAACTGTGAATGTAAACACTGTGTCCTGGAAACACCACACACCATAACTGAATTCCTTCAAAAAACAAGATGTTTTCCACACCTGAAGTGAAATTAGCACAAGTTCCGGTGCTTATTGAGGTGGAATAAGAGAGTTTAGGTTCTTGGTTAAAAAACTAACAGCATCATTTACAGGTTTGAAGGCTGAACTTCTAGGAATGTTTTTTCCCATGAAGTGCATCCTGTTTTTTTACACATCTTGAATTCTACTTCAGCACATGAACATGACTTTTTGACATCATCCACCTGTGCTTGGTCTTGGAATCCTACTTTCCTCTGAGAGCATTCCTGAGATGGAAAATCCCCTCGCTGTTCCCAGTATTCTGTGGGAACATCCACCTATATTGAGCGGAGAGGCCTCGTCTATTCAACATGCAAGCTGCGGGCATGTCACTTGAGTTGACAGTAATGTGACCGCGTTGTTGTGTCCCAGCCAAAGGCTTTCCATCAGGATGCTTAAGCCCCTTAAATTTTGTTCCACACTCCTACAAAGCAGCTCGGATCATTATGAGTTCACAGCTCAAATGTATACATCTGTGATATTTGACCAAAACCATACAGAGTTCTTGCACATCAGAGTTTTTTAGAAAGGTAGAAATTTGCATTTGATCACTAAGACACTTGGATGCCACTACCGACCAGCTGTGTAAAAAAAAAAGCACATCAAAAGACACAGATGTGTATAATTTTGCTTGTACTTGTGCAGTTTTACAAGTGGGGGGCAAAATAAAATCAAACAAAAACCAAACATTTAAATCAAATGAGTGAATAAATTGAGCTAAAGTTGGTTAATGTGCTCCAATAAGAGTAGTATAACAAAAGCTGTCTCAGTAAAGACAGATCAAATGGAAGTGAGTAACAAGATATGTTGATTTAAGCAACAGAGATTGTGGAGATTAGACTCCTGTGAAGTGGGCCTACATCTTCATTAGACATAGGACCACATGAAGACAGGAAACAGGACAATCCCCAGGAGTCTGGACGCTGATGGTGGGGTGGAGCAGCTGACAGGTAGTTGGAAGAGGCATCAGACCGTGACCTTGGACATCATGGAGGTTGTGGTGGTGTGGGGGAGGCGGCGGGTCATGCAATCGTAGGTCTGAAAGATAAGCCAGCAGAATCAAAGCAATATTGTGTTTCAAGACAGATTTCAAATTTTATCTGATGATAAAGTTTTATCGTAACATATCATATGGGCGGCATGGTGGCACTGTAGTTAGCCTCACAGCAAGAAGGTTCTAGGTTCGAGTCTGCATGTTCTCCCTGTGCCCACGTGGGTTTTCTCTGGGCACTCTGGCTTCCTCCCACAGTCCAAAGACATGCAGCTTAGGTTGATTGGTGACTAAATTGCCCATAGGAGTGAGTGTGAGTGGTTGTGATTGTTTGTCTACATGTCAGCCCTGTGATAGACTTGTGACCTGTCCAGGGTGGACCTGCCTCTTGCCCAGTGTCAGCTTGGATTGGGTGGATGGATTGTATAACATCATATTGTATCAAGGAACATAGTCAGAGAGATCACTGGTCAGATAAGGTGACATCAGAATTGAAGGAGGATGCGTTCATTGCAGAGCAGTTTCATTTTTATATGAATCAGCACATTGATAAGTTGCATTTATGACATTTGGATCTGTGCATTTGAGTCTCTGTCAGCTCACCTGTTGTTTATCAGTATGAATTATTTTTGACCAAATTGAATTAATTTTGCACTCTGTCTGCAGAACATATGCAATCCAGATGATTGGTGTGAAGAGAACGCAGTTCCTGCCTCACAGCAGCTTCCCTCCTCCCAGGAAGCAGGTACTGTACCTTGTCAATACTGTAACCTGCAGTGAAGCGCGATCTGTCTGAGCTCACCACTCTCACACCACACACAACCTGACAAACCTCACAGCAGCTTTTTCACTTGAAGCATGTGTCATGCACTTTGGCCCCAGGGCTGTGTTTGGGTAACATTCCTGTGTTTTGTGGTGGACCTGCTAATGCTGAGCAACATGATAAAACACCTCTCACATGTCACTTGACATCGCCACAAATTCTGCTCTATAGTTGTATACATCTCTGCTCAGTTCCTCCACACACCCGCTACAGCCAATCAAAAACATAGTATTCCCCTGTGGATTTGTTCTGAGGAATCCGTGGACTTTTGTTTTTACAGTACTACAACTGCCACAGCTTGTTTGCTGCCTCAAGCTGCAGTTCCTCTGGCGACCACTAGTTGGTGACTCCAAGAAAACTGAAGTAACTGGGAAAATCCTAATTTATGCCCATTTTCACTTTTTCTGAGATGCTTTTTGACAGTTATCTTCTGTTCATCAGTCTTAATGTCTGTGTGTACTTCATGTTTCGACTGGCTGCAAGTTTCAGCATTTACATTCAAACTTAAAGCTTAATACTGGGGTTTATTAAATCCAATTAAAACAAATTTGTATCTGCTACTTTACTGACCATTCACGTTAAATCCCTACTGTGGCAAAAATCTATCAAAACCTTTTTGCTAGCATTCAACAGCAACATATCCAATTAGCTTTAGTCACAGAAGTGCTGTCAAACCGAAATTGCAACTTTGTTGATACTGACAAAAAAAATGTATCTTGAGTTGTATCATTCAGATTTTGTTAGTTGCTGCCAACAGTTGTCTGCATATTTTTATGACCACAAAAAGTGAAGGGATATGTTAAAATTTATGCAACTTCATTGACAGCTTTGTAGAGCTTCAAACATCCAGCCTGAACAGACCGCTAGCTGCTAACTAGCTGCTAAGTGTAGACTAGTGAAGACAAGGATGCTACGGCATGTCACTATAATCTCCTATTAGCTATGACATAGCATACAAATCATTTGTGTTGATAGTAAGCATGTTTGCTACCTGCTAACCAAATGGCTAAAAGCTAAAATAACCTACTAAATTAACATATTCAGTATTTAGAAAGAAAAGATATGTGTGAATTTAGACCAATTTTTACGACATGGCTGGAGAGGTTTGATACAGTCCAGAGCTCCATGCATACTTCACACCATGTGTTGTGCATTTTCCACCCATTACTTTTGCAGATTGTGCAGTTTAAGTCACAAAAACATGTTGTCCATGAGCTCTCAGCGATTCTGGTCTGTTTCTAGGTCTGGGTCTGCAGGCATGTCTCAGATCTCAGTGCCTAGTTTTATTGAGAAGAGCAAGATTATTTTACTGATTATTTTCTTCAGTTAACGGCTTCATTGTTTGGTTTGTAAAATGTACAATGTCCTCTACAACATTTCCAAGGTGACATCTTCCGATGTCTTGTCTGAAGCCCCCAAACATTCAGTTTATATAATTCACTATCAGAATGTCTACATTAGTGTGACCCACTCTCTCTGCCCTTCTTTTTTCTTGCACTCCTGTTTAAGTTTATCCTCAATATCATGTAACTTTCTGAGCAGGAGAAGGAGTTTGTCTTTGTTTCTGTCTCTGCCAGTCCTTCTCATTCCTGAGTGGCAGCAGACAATGTCAGAATTGACTCATCCCTTCATCACCTGTCAGATTACGGGACGACTGTTTTCTATGTGAAACATATCATTTGACACCACCTATCAACAGCATTTCTCATTTCTTCAACTGAGACTTATCAGATTATTTTTAAGCACATTTATCCTCCTGATAAATGGCGGTGTGCTGTAAGGCCACATGGTTCAGATATGTCTGTATTTTCTTGTTCAGCTGTCCTGCATGTGAACATGTTTACATGTTCAGGCACAATCATCACCAAATCGCATGTTTGCTAATTGCTCACGCTGCACCAGTTGTGGACAATTGCATCTCTCCTCCCAATCATGAAGAGTGTGACCCCAGAGGTCAAACACTTGACCCTTGAAGTCCTGCTGAGATTTGCTTATGTATAATTAGGACTGTTTAGAGCCTTTGTATGCCTGAGTGGACACATGTAGAGCTCTGTGGAATGGTCTGTTCTTCCTTCCTGCCCTGGTGAAAATACTTCACTGGCCGCAGAGGGAAAGATACACACTGATCATCTGCACAAGAACAACTGTTGTAATTGGAACACACTAACTGGGCTTATGGGAACTAGTTTGAAAGACAAGTGTTCAAGTGACTGAGCACCATATAAACTACTTTCTTGTTATTGTGGATACTCTTTCTGTACATTTTTGTACAGTTTTTATGTCAATAGTGGCAGGAAACATAAAATATGCATTAAGCTTCTACCCAGGTTATGGACTATCACAACCATAACCATTCAGGGCGGCTGTAGCTTGGGAGGTAGAGTAGGTCATCTCCTAACTGTAGTGTTGACGTTTCAGTCCTCAGCGTCTCCAGTCCACACGCTGAAGTGTCCCTGGGCAAGACACTGAACCCCAAGTTGTTCCCTGTGATATCACAGGTGTGTGAAAGCATTTTGAGTGTGCTTCAGTGTAATAAGTTCAGGGTTTTACAAATACTAGGGTCTGAAGTTCATAGTTGAATCCCCATTCCCTTATATTCTTGATCCTCGCTGGACAGGAGAGTTCTGGTCCGCCATGATGAAGGACGTCATCCCAGACCTCTTATTTGTGCTCTGAGGGGTGAGGAGGCTGCTGGAGGACTTATAACAAAGGATACATGAGTGCATCCTTTGTAGAAGCCTGTTACAGATTGACATGCCCCTTTACTGGAAACCAGTTTGTGATTGGATGCTTCACATTAAGGATTGTTACATGGGCGGGACTAAGACTCAAGGAAAAGACGCAAGTGAGGGAAATACGCATGCAATTAGGTGAATTGAGATCCAGCTCATGTCTCCGTAATGCAGCCACTATCTTTAAGACTTTTTATTCAATTAACTGATCGTTTATTAGTTCCCCAAAATTCCAGAAAAGAAATTATGATGGAGAGATACTAATTTCTTTATCAGGCTGGGTATTGATCCTCATGTTTTCATAATTTATCAAAAGCTGAAATCAAATGTTTGTGCAGGTTTGTTTGCTGCTGCTTTAATCATCATACACTGACAATCTATTTAGACTATATACTGTATACAGATGGGTGACAAATGAAAGGAAGCCCCTGAGTATGTGAGTGGTCTCCTCCAGGGTCCACAGGACACGAGGCGTTGCTGACTGGTCTAATGAGGATGATGATGATGTGAATCAGATGCTGTGGCCTTCACAGCCACCAGGTCTCAGCCCATTTGAACAGCTATGGGAGATGTTGGAGCGACGTGTTAGACAGCGTCTCCACCATCATCATCAAAACACCACACTAGTGAACATCTGTTGGAGGAACGATGTTCATTCCTCCAGGGGGGTTCAGAGTCTTGGAGAGTCAAGGTGAAGCTGTTCTGTTGGCACATGGAGGCCCAGCACCTCACTGAGACTCTTTATGCTGGGTCGTCCTTTAGTTTGTCAGCATTTGTATAAGTATATATATCAAATATGACACATTTGCAGTCATCTGGAAAAACCCCTCTGACATCAGCTCCACTGATGTTTATTACTTGTGGGGAATTTTTGTGGTCTGCGACGCCTCCCACTAGAGATCATGAAACGAAGGAATGTGTCAACACATGCAGTTTAATATGGCAGAAAAAGCATTCAGTGATTGGAAAAGATGCCACATCAGCTAAATGTTAGATTAGATGTGCAAATGTACATGTGCAGTTTCCTGTAGCAACAACATGTCATATGGTTACAGTATTCAGCTCTTCCATTTAGAGTAGAACCAGTGTTAGTACCACATTCAGTTTACTGATCCAAACTGTCAGTTTTGGGTTTGATTTCTAACTCCAGGAGCTGCTCCTAAGTCTAATGACAAAGCAAGACGTTCATACAGTTGGTAATAAGAAATTTATTTTTCAACAATTACAAAGACCAAAATATTTAAAAGGCATATTCATATGGACATCGACTATACAGGGATCAGATGGCGTGTGCTAGGTGATTCTGGAACAAGAGCTAATGGAGAGAGAAAACTAGGAATATTCATGTATTCTGATGAAAAAAATAGGAAATACTCCATGTCTAGGTACACAATAGAAAAGAGATTAAGCTGATTATGGACTGATATTATATCCTGATACAGTGTTTAGGCCTCTTTAACTGTCATGATGTTATTTACAGCAACACAAACATGACGGCATTGCCATCGTTCAATAGTTAAACCTCTTAGCCTCTTTGGTTCCATGATTAGGTATAATACATTTGAACAGAGCTCAGTTTTGCTTCTATAAAAATAACCTTTTTACAGTGGCAGTTTCTATTTATTGTTCTTATTCCTAGTCACACAACTCGTCAGTGCAAATATTCTAACAACCGTTTGCTTTGAAGAACAAGTGAAAGATTTACAGCGGCAGGCAAGGTCGGGGTTGGGCAAGAGGCAGGAAAAGAGCGATAATAAGTAGCATCTGAACCTCCAACATCTCTCTTAAATGCATATTTGGTAGTAGTGAAGTCTATGTAGGAGAGGGGAGTATAACAGACTAGTGTATTAACAGGTCGCTGAAACGTTTAACCTGAAATTATCAAAGTGGTGTCAAAGTTACTGAGGCCTGAAACTGTGTCTTAAAGTGTGTCATGGTGCCGAACAGGCCATGATGGGAACTCCACTGGGACGCATTCATTTAGACTCAAAATTCACTATTCATGCCTCACATTTGGGTCAAAGTTAGCCCCAGTTAGCCTCTTTTTACATTGCAATTAATGTCACAATGAAAGTACAACTAAAAAATCAACAGGTTATTTAACAACATTGATTAAAGTCTTTTGTTTGGTCAGTAAAAATATTTTGTTCTCTCTGCATAATGAAGCAAATGCTTGCCAAGAGGCAGGAGCACTTTGACAACATTGCAGATAACAGCTGTATGGATTCAAGTCTGTGCTGCAATACTGTCATTGTGCTCCTACCTCTTGACATTTTTGCTTTGTATGCCTAAATTTCTAACCAGTTTCGTAGCATGCTAGTCTGGTCCAACCAGAAACAGCAGCTGAAATCACCTTGCTTGTCTTGCACCACAAAGACAAATGAAGGTTTCATCATCAGTGACACTGGTTCCCAACCTTTGTCAGCACATCTGAATGCAGTGTCTTGTCATAAAATGAATATTTGATGAATACAGATTTTCACCAGTTCAACAAGTATTTGATTGGTCCTTCTGGGACTGTTTTACATGTTTTTTGCAGCCTGAAAAGGGTTTTTAAAAAGCAAGAATATGTTTTTCAGTTTTGGAACCATTGTTCTATAATGATGATGTTTTTTTTCTGCACCATACAAGCTGGACAAAAAGATGTCACGTCCAGCTGCCATCTTTGTGTATTCAACACAGAAATAGATTTTGACTGAAACCCAACCTCAATCAACATAATGAAGTAATTTGTTCAATTTCAAAGTGAATGCATCTGCAAAACACTCACTAAAATGCATTTCATTAGTTCATGGCAGCTGCAGTGATTGTCATTATTATGCTTGACTTCTTCAGTTTACCCTAATCTGGTGTGTAGAAAACAGCCTAACCAGCAGCAGGATGCAAACCCTGTCAGAGCCCCACCATCCTCCCTACAGACTCTGTCCACTACAAGAGCATCATCTGGAATAAAATAACAGTTTTAGATTTGAGAAATACCATCACAAGTTAAGTGAACAGTTGGGTCTGTAAAACCTGGACATATAATTCTGAACAGAGCCGGACTAAGTCATATAAGTCTTTTTTTCTCAGTACAATGCTTCACAACTTAATAGCCAAAACACATTTTCAGTCATTTACAGACACATTGTGTTGCCTCCTCGTGCCTCCCAGCAGAAGCCCAACATGTCCCTGCTTGCCACACATACATTTCAAGTATTGGTGATAGTTTGTCACTAGAGCGTAAGTTCAGCTTGTCTGGTATATGGGTAAATGCTGTACATTGCATAGCTGATGCGGCACTTAATTCTTTTCAGAGGACTGTGGGCAGTGGTGCGCCACGTAGGGCTCGTTAAAGGCCTTCCAGTCTGCAAGTGCTATCAAAGTGTGCGTCGGGAAGCGGCACCCTCACTAAGCTGAGCAATATGTCAGCTTTTCAATTTCACTGACTGAAGTCACAGAATCATTGACACGTTTTGATTTTGACAGCTGGAAGGAATCAACCCTTTGTCTGCAAGAAGAAACTGAAGGAAGCTGGAAGGTTTTCTTGCAGTTTCCAAACAGAGCTGGATAAATGTGAGGTTGTTCCTGGTATTCATTCATGTGCTGGTCACACAATATGAAAGACTATTTGTTCAACCCACGAGCCTTTGGAAAACTAAAGAATTTATTTTAACTTTAATGATACAAAGAGCTGTGATTTCTTTAAAGTCGACCTTCTAGTTGTCAGTTCAGAGGATTATATAACAGTTTGGTAACAGTGTCCATGAGACAACAGCCTTGTTGAAAAGTTTCAACTGATTTTGTTTTCATTTCTGAAATGTGTCCATATGTTCCAGTTAGCTTGATTATATGGTGGAACAAAGATTCTCTAAGTGTGACTCCTGGCCAGAAGTGCTGTACGTTGGTGAAGCTTGACTCGTGTGAAGACGTGTTCAGTGCTTGTCCCAAGTGGTGCACACGCTGTTCTTGAAAGAGGCACACTGGCCTTCCTTGTGACTCATGTAAGGCTCCCTATCCCTCCTCCGGAGAGGCTGGTTTCACGGCCGAGGTCGGGTGTATTTTCTACAAATGAAGAGTTTGAGTCCAAAACAAGATACCCACTTTAAACTATAACAATATGACCAATAGCAGAACGTTATATCAAATCATGTTGTTTTGTAAAGGATAGCAGTTAAACTATGTCTTAAACACTTCAACAACCCAGGTCCTCACTATCTATACAGGGATTTAATGAAGAACTTCAGATTTGGATTGTTTCCTAAAGTGGATATTTAAAGATTTGGAAGAGAACTCTTCACACCCATTTGAAGGAGACTGACTTGTTTCTAGTCTTCCACCAGAGAATATAACGAAATATATCAACAAACATAAATATATATACAGGTTTTTGTGCAGGCATACATGAGGGTGTGTAGATATGTGTGGATGAGGTTGTGTACGCGCATGTTTTCTCCATTGTCCATAAATATTGTGTTTCTATATTCAGTTTTTGTTGTAATATTGTGAATCTGTTTACAGGTCAGTTCTTCAGTTCCTCCTTAAATAAACAGGAGTACCACGTACTCAAGCACAGCCGCACTCCTCCACGATCATGTTGGGAACGTCCCGCTTGACGATGTTGTACTCATCGTCAAAGTAGAGCATGGACATGGTGCTCAGCTTGGTGGGGATGCAGCAGGAGTTCATGGAGCCTGGGCTCATCCCCCGCATGCGGTACTGGTTTACTACCGCTGTGTGGAAAGATGAGGCTGAACTGGGGACGCCCACCATGTAGGCCGGACAGTTCCCCTCGCAGTAGTTCCCAAAGTAGCCAGACGGTGCGATGATCCAGTCATTCCAGCTAGAACTGCTGGCGGCAGCACAGTTTGCTGCTGCCGTCGCACTCCAGCCCCCTCTTGCGGATTCGGTGTGTGTTGTCCACCTGCCGCGCCTGCACCACCAGGAAGGGCCGGTGGGACTCATCGTTGCGGTTGAGCAGCACGGGCGTGACACCATTGGCCTCGCAGCCTTCACAGCGCACATCCAGGTTCTGCCGCCGGTCCCCCTTCTCAAACACCAGCCGGACGGCATCAGTCAGCATGAAGGTGTGCCAGCCGCTGCGCTTCAGGTCCACCCGCTTCTCCACCAGGTTCCACTTGCTTCCAAAGCCAGGCTCCTGGTAGTACACCTTCACTGTCACCTTCCGCCTCGGACGCACCTCCACAGGAGACGGCAGCAGCTTGAAGTAGAGCCAGAGGGTGGCCTGCGTCACGTGCAGGTTCTGGTTCCCCTCGCTGGAGATCAGGAAGAACAGACTGGACTTGGATGTCACCATGTCATCTGAGGAGCACAAACACAAAAAAGAAATTAACACTGGAGTGTGTAAAGTCTCTCTATGTAGTGTCTCTTCATTTCCTGTTGGGAACACAGCACTTTGGAAGACTGAACAACCACCAACAGTTGAAATAAAGGTCAACAGTTATGTCAGCTCTTCATGTGCAGTATTTTGACGGCCACAAAGGGGAGTGAGCACTGCCTCCCCCAGCCTCCCCTTGGTTAGTGGTGGCACAGATCCTGTGGACTGTGACAGGAAGGCGTTGGGCGTAGGGCCACTTGGCCTCTGAGTCAGCGCGAGAGTGGGGGGGGGGGGGGGCTTAAGAATGCTATGCACAAAGGTTCAAAGGCTTTGTGCTGAATGCTGCCTGAAAATAAGATCTTATGGAGCCTCACTGTTGTCACAACGAGGCCTGGGAGCACGTCGTGGGGCCAGGCAGCGCAGGAGATGCAGCAACAAACTGGAAGAATGAAGACACAAGAAAAACCATTTACATGACATTAGCTCAGAACCCGGGGTTGCTCCTGCAGCAGACTGCAAATGGTCAGAGGCTTTTTATTTGGGAAACATAAGCTCATTTGTGGAACGAGTAAAAGGTTTGGAAGCAGGGCAGCTGAGGGGTCCAAGGCCCTCAGGAACCCGAACACTCAACCATTATATATTCAGAAATCCACTCACCATCTTTCAGCATGTTTATAATAAAGTCAGAGAGAGGTTTATACAGATCCTGTTTGCAGTGCAACTTTCCCACAACTAATAATACTGAAAGTGTGTGGACTAAAGCTAAAAGACAAGCTTGTTTGTATCTGGGCTGCTTCATATGTATTTGCAATTTATCTCTTCACCTTTTGCTCTTGTGGGTTTCACTGTGTGTGTTTCTGCAAGCCAGTGCTCCCATTAAGAAGGATAAAGTTTTGATCTTGAGTGGAGACATGTAAATATCCTGAGAGTACTTCTGGGTAATTGATGGTCTGATGAAGCAGGACTCAGCGCACTCAGGACTGGAAGCAAAGGTCTCCTTAATCTGCTGTGTTTTACATTTTAGGCACTTCATCTTAAGATGCTTACAGAGCTTTCACCGGGATCACATCTAGTACATCTGGCCTGGACTTTATTTTAAGTTCTCCAGTGGAGGACCACATTTCACCATCACTTTCTGCTGTTGTAAACATGAAGCAGAGACAGCAATGAGGGAAATGCATGAGAAGTAGATTGGCAGCTGTCAGGTGAAGAAGATTAGAGCCATGAACTTCCTGAACTGAGTGAAGCCAGTTGGGAGGAACTGAGATTGACAGATTGTGAAGTCTTAGCGTAAGAGGGCCAGTGAATGTACTTGGGATTTCTTGGATGATTTCTTGTGCCCTGGGGTGTTTTTACCAGGACCAGACCAACCAGACACTGTTAAACCTTTCATGAACTGGTTGCAGGATTCACTGGTGTACAGAGCAGACATGTATGAAAATGGCAAAGATTATTCAGAGAATAGAGAGGAGCAGATTGTGTTGCCAAACATTAAAGGAAGCATGGTGCTTTTTTTAGCAGGCCTCCACATGCATTACCTCATCCATCACGAGACAAGGTAATCTCTGAGTCATTACTCTACAGCTTGGATTTTAGATCACACAAAGGGCCAGCAGACTGCTGCGCTGCTGTCATCCAGGCAGCGTAAAAATCAAGGGTGATGCCTGCCAACTGAGAACAAAGGTTACGTTGACCTGCAGCTGCATATTTCACAGGTCATTTGTCACCACGTATTCTGTCAAACCTGTATGGATCAAGACTAAAATGCCTGTGATGTGCAGTAGATATAAACAAATTCTACGTTGCAGGAAGGGGCTGTTTAATTCCCCTGAATGTGTTGGCGGCTGTTGGGGAGTGGCTGTCTGACAAGTTAAATGACGTTTGAGAAGGAAATCTTGATCACAGACGACCAGCTGCATGAGGCGGTGACGAGGACATGGCGGCGGTGGAAAGTAACAAAGTGCATTTACTCAGATACTGTACTTAAGTTCAGTTTTGAGATATTTGAGTATTTCCATGTCCTGCTGCTTCATCCTTGGGCTTCACCACATGTCCGAGACAAATGTTGTACTTTTTAAAAGTCCCTTCATGTATTTGGTAACTTTAGTTCCTTTTCAGAATCGAATAAATAATCAGACTCTATTGATCACTGGTGGAAATTCACCAGTAGGATGTAAAGTACTTCACAGTATAAGTATATTAACATCAGCTCCACCTTTACCAGCTGCAGCGTTAAAGTGATGAACACAGTAGTTAGAATCCGGTAACATGCCTATAATGTACATTAATGTGAAGATTGCCATTCTGCATAATGACTACTTTTACTTTTGCTACTTCAAGTATGTTTTCATGCTAATCCTTTTGTACTTAAGTAAAGGATGGGAGTACTACCACTGCTGCTCATATGAACCAAAGGACAAGAAGAACCCAGAAACAAAGTGAAGTAAACAGCGTGGGAACAATGATAGTTTACATCCAACCACTCAACAGAAAACGTCCTGTCGTCACTACAAAGCCAACATTTAAACTAAATGACCAGAATGTGCAGAAGCACATGATCATCATGCGCTGCAAAAGAAAGACGGCAGCTGCTTTGACTGGCTGGACATTGCATTGGACAAATATTTGATGTCTTTATGCAGAAAGACACAAATGTTTAGTGAGGAAGAAGAGACATATAAATAAACCATGCTGTGTTGTAGCAGTGACACGGTTGTGTAACATGAATGCTACTTCCACTCTCACTACCCAAAATTAATCTCTAATTTAGTAGCGACAACCTAAATTTAGGCTTCAAAGCCAGACACGTTGCTAACATAAGGTCATCTAAGCGCCTGATTTTAAAATCTCACAGTGTAACATCAGAGAGAAAAAAGCATGTTGGTGTTACAGTAACTCTGGGTATTTTCTCTAAGACTCTTCACTGGAAATCTGTGGTTTTGGGGCCAAAATGCAGCTTGGGGAAGTTTAAAACATATTATTTTCCTTGGCCTTCAAATGGTTAAACAACTGGCATCAAATGTGCCCAGTTTCTTCTCTTTTTTTCAAAATTGGTGAATGATTTTCATTTGTCTGCGTTTCAACACTGTGTGAGAAACGAGAGAAGATTAGACAAGGTTTCATCAGAAGCCACGTCAGGCCATGTCCTTGTGGTTTTTCAACTTTGGGAATTTCACCAACTCTGGCGAGAGTTCTAATCATACAGTTGAAAACATCTTGGGTTTGTTTAGACTGGCTCCAGTATTTTTGAGTACACATAAGTAACTTCGATCACTTTAGGCTGGAAAAATAAACCCGTAGAGTCAGTATCTCTCATAAACCTTTATTCATGTTGAATAAAACTCACTCAGTTTCCTCCACATTTAGCTCCAACGAATGGGCCATGCTGAAATTTGTAGGTCACATTTTATATAAGACTTTGTGTAAAATCTAGAAACTGCGAAATTAGATGCATCATATATAGTTGTAGTTGTAGAGATTGTAAAGGCCTCTAAGGCAAATGTGTGATTTGGCCGAAACACAGTTGATGTGACTTGGGTAGATTTTACATTTTTATTCTTCACAATTTTGTTTAAAAAAAAGTGACTTTAAAAATTTGGACTGCTTTTTAATATTGAGGTTTAACTTGGAAACTGCAGTAGACAAACCAAGGTCTGTTAGCACAGAGCTTTGGATCATATTACATGTTCTTCACCAGCAGATGGGTTTTTTCCTGAACTTCTGATTTTAAGTCCTTAAAGTGCAAAGAGGAAACAAAAGGAAATTTGAACATCACTTTCAGGTAAACTGGACTGATGATGAAGACCATGTGACATGATCGGAAGCTACAGAATGTTTATTAAATGGAGATGTTCCCTTGTGCTCTGTTCGGGTCTGTGGGACCCGGAGACACATGTCACCTTAAAAACAACAATATATATAAATATACATATTTATATATATTGTTAACAGAGCACAAGGGTTAACAAGCAGGTAGCTCACAAACACAGCCTGGCTAAGATGGCGCCACGTTCTTGAGTTTTACTGGATATCTCAGAAGTTGTGTGCACAAAAGGTCAGACTACAAACTGTGATGCAGTAGATAACAAACCACCAACATGCACTGCACTCAGTGTTTTTTCATATCCAGCCTGTAGCTAGATCCCACACACACATAAACACACAGTGAATTCTAATGGGGTGCCAGGCTGCAGGGTTCCACCCGTCAATCTGCATTCAGGCTGCAAGACAGCCAACACAAAAGCTCTGACCTTATAGTGAGGGGACTGATTCAGTGCAACCCTGCCATGTCACACACACCCACACACACTTATGTATATGCCAGTGCAGACACTAGTAGAAACACACAGTTCAGAGGACATCAGTAGCACGCACAACGACGCACATAAAGACATGACAGATACACAATAGCTCAGCTACTACAACTCAATCATGGGTAAGTGGCACTTGTGACGTAACGACTAAACACAGGTTCAGTCGCGTGAGCCGACGCGAAGAAGGATTCCACGTTGTGGAAAGCAGATGTTTCCAGCGCTGCTCTCAGAAGCCAGCGCACCGACACACGTGGGTGAAGCAGGTGGTGGTGTTGATCATTTTCAGCCCTGCTCCTTTCAGCCGCCCCTGTGTAAATTGTTCCTCTGAGCCTTGTCGTCGTGCCATGTCCCTACTGGCAGCCGCTCA